TCATCTGAGAGGGAGGGAGAAAGATGCTGAGTTATCACATCATAGGAAGCAGCATTATTCTAGCAGCATCCATTTAAGCCTTCCACTGTTAAAGGTTTGAGGTTACATGATATACTTTATGCTCATAACTGATGTGGCTGAAGAATTGGTATTGAATTTATAGCATTAGCAGAACAGAAAATGTGATGTATTTTATGTATGTCAATAAAAGAATGACCTGTTCTTGTTCTACAGAGAATAGGAATTGAAAGTCAAACACCCTTTCTATTCCAAAATAGCATCTCAAACATTTTGTAATTTTCACTTAAATTGTTATGAGGCTTGGAGCTCTTATTTAATCTATCTTCCAATACACTGTTTAATATAGCACTGAATAAATGATGTGAGTTGTCAATGGATGAGTGATCAACTAATAGCTCTGCTAGTAATTGATTTATTTTTCTTCAATAAAGTTGCATAAACAACAACAAAACAAAAAAACTGAAGGAATAGAAGTTTGGATTTTTACATGCATTGGCATACCAAATATTAATTTTATATATAAGTTCAGCATATCCAATTGGACAAATGTAAAGGAATGTATTCTATAATAATCCCTTAATTGTATCCTCATCACAAACGCAGATAGGACAATGGATCTAAGACAAAAGGAAATGCAGGTTATTACTGACTGCCCCTATAAAAACGTTAAGACAATAAAAGAGGGAGCAAAGCAATTTCAAGTCAGTTTTAAAATACCAAACAATGTGTCTTGATAACTATTAAAGAAAATAATATTCAGTGACACTTTTTAAAGATGGTAAGGCAGACTTTATTCAGGACAGTTGAGACAGGTATAATAACAACTACAATGGGTTTTTACAATGGGGGGCAGAGATTGGTTTCAACTCCAAACACAGGATAGAAAAGTGGGTATTTATAGTCAAGAAGTAGTCTGTGGAAGACAAAAATACTGTGAGGAAAAGTCAGGTGTTCTGGTAAACTTTGAGTTGTCCATACAGCAGTAGGCTCAAAGGCTGCCTATTTAAAAAATGATGTGGCAATTATTTAACTTTATGACAAGTCATCAGTTTCACCTTGCAAGACTTTAAGCAAAGGACAGTTTCAGTCCTGAATGATTCTAAGTCAGGAGGGGGGAAAAAGTGGAAACTTTAATTTGGACAGTTGTAGCAGGATACAGGAGAAAAGAAGGATTTGGTAAGGACTGACAAAATGTGCAAGATGAAATCCACATGGGTACACCATAGTTTTCAGTTTTAAAAAAGTTCTGCCATGGGTGTACATGTCAATGTATGGCGAAACCAATACAATGTTGTAAAGTAAAATAAATAAATAATTTAAATAGAAAAAAAGTAAACCACTGAGCCACCAAAAACAAAAAGTTCCCTCTGCAATCACCTCCATTTTTATCAAAGATAATCAAAGTATTCATAAGACTAATTTGTTTACAAAATGAGTTAGTTTCATTAAACTTGGTTTTACTCTTTACATAAGTGAGGCACAGCGATTGCCCACATGGGCCCTTTTTAAGTTTGCTTTACTGGAACTTTACATATGGAATCTCAGGTTGGGCTTTTAAAAGCCTCTTAAGACTAGGAAAACAAGGCAAAAACTCATCACCAGATTTAGCCTGAAATACCTATAGATTTAAGTGTATTTCTCTTTTTTCAGGTCTTTGAAATATCCTGAGCTTCCTAAACCTGCCAGAAAGTGACATTCCTTACTCATTTGTAAGGCAAGAAAGCCTACAGACCAGGTATAGACAGTTTTTCTAAGGGGTGACTTCATAAGCATGCCTGTGTGCTCAGTTGCTCAGTCACTCATGTCCGACCTTTTGTAACTCAATGGACTGTAGCCTGCTAGGCTCATTCTTTTCATGGGATTTTACAGGCAAGAGTATTGGAGCTGGTTGCTGTTTCTTACTCCAGCAGATCTTCCTGACCAAGAAATCGAACCTAGTTCTCCTCTGTCTCATGCGCTGGTAGGTGGATTCTTTACCACTGAGCCACCTGGGAAGCCTGGCTTTATAAGCACTGGTGCCTTAAAGTCAGTGGTCATCTGATTTATTTTACATCATTCTAAAATATAACATTCCTTTCAAAGCATTGGTAATAAACTAATGTTTGCAATTTTGTTCTGTTACAAGGAGAACAGACTCTAACTGAATTGATGCAAATAACTATATTTCCATTAAAATAAGAATATTCACTAAGAGTTTCCAAATTATTGAGGTATCAATTAAGAGGAAATGATAAAAAGGTTGACTTTTGTTTACAAAGATATGATTTACCAAATTACTCTAAGTTATAGATAGCTCGGGCTTCCCTGGTAGCTCAGTTGGTAAAGAATCCACCTGAAATTCAGGAGACCCCAGTTCGATTCCTGGGTCGAGTAGATCCCCTGGAGAAGGTATAGGCTACTCACTTCAGTATGCTTGGGCTTCCATGGTGGCTCAGATGGTAAAGAATCCATCTGCAATGCAGGAGACCTGGGTTGGATCCCTGGGTCGGGAAGATCTCCTACAGCAGGGCATGGCAACCCACTCCAGTATTCTTGCCTGGAGAATCCCCATGGACAGATGAGCCTGATGAGCTACAGTTCATGAGATCACAGAGTCGGACACAACTGAGCAACTAAGGACACCACAGCAGATAGATAGCTTAAGAGGAAAACATGTTTCCTTAAATCTGGAAAATAAAATATTTAATGTTTTAACCAGCAATATTTCAAACAAGAAGTCACATTCTAAAAATTCCAAAAATACATGTCAGTTCATTTAGTCAAATGTAATTAATTCTTATTTTTCTTGATCTCAGGCTGGGAAATATATGAATTCATGAGTTTCTTCATTAGTTCTGGAAATTCTTACACAGTTCAGTGGTATGGTCCTCAATTTATTGAAGGCATGCCATCATGGAGCATTCTTATTTGCAGCTAATTCTAAATACTTTCAGAGAATAATTACAATATGGCAGCAACTGAAAATGATGAAAGATTAAAAAATGACCATGGCTAGAGATCTGATGTAAGTTAATTTGTGTAGGAAATTTAGTTATTTCTGTAGCATACAACATGTTAATATACTAACTGAACAACAAGAATGTCAACATGTTTCTATGAACTTCATGTTAATTTTGAAATATCTACATTAAAAATATATATCTGTACACATATAATGAAAGACAGGTCATCATTACTTCCTTTTTGACAATGCTCTCCATGTAATTTGACATATCAGATAAATCTAAAACACCTCTGTTTTACAAGGTGAGAGAAAAATCCTTCAAGATTTTCCAGGGGGCTTCTAGGAAACCTCAAAGTTAGTTTGCTGATGAAAAGGCTAAATTCAGAATTTTATTTTGAGAAGTTTCAAAATTGTCAAAAAGATTGAACAGTTGACTAAATAGGATCACAGGTAGATGGCTATCAATTTAATAAAAGTTATGAAAAATTTCAAACATTAATATAGATGGTTGTTGTTATTCAGTCACTCAGTCATATCCGACTCTTTGTGATCCCATGGACTGCAGCACACCAGGCTTCCCTGTTCTTCATTGTCTCCCAGAGCTTGCTCAAACTCATGTCCACTGATTTGGGGATGCCATCCAACCATCTCATCCTCTGTCATCCCCTTCTCCTCCTGCCTTCAATCTTGCCCAGCATCAGGGTCTTTTCTAATGAGTTGGCTCTTTGCATCAGGTGGTCAAAGTATTGGAGCTTCAACTTATCAGTCCTTCCAATGAATATTCAGGGTTGATTTACTTTAGGACTGACTGGTTTGATCTTGCAGTCCAAGGGACACTCAACAGTCATCTGTAACACCACAGTTAAAAAGCATTAGTTCTTCAGCACTCAGTCTTCTTTATGGTCCAACTCTTACATCATACATGACTACTGGAAAAACCATAGCTTTGACTATATGGATCTTTGTCAGCAAAGCAATGCCTCTGCTCTTTAAAACACTGTCTAAGATTGTCACAGCTTTTCTTCCAAGGAGCAAGGGTCTTTAATTTCATGGTTACAGTCACCATCTACAATGATTCTGGAGCCCAAGAAAATAAAGTCTGTCACTGTTTCCATTGTTTTCCCCATCTATTTGCCATGAAATGATGGGACTGGTTGCCATGATCTTAGTTTTCTGAATGTTGAGTTTTAAGCAGCTTTTTCAATCTCTTCTTTCATTCATCAAGAAGCTCTTTAGCTCCTCTTTACTTTCCTAAGGGTGGTGTCATCCACATATCTGAGGTTATTGATATTTCTCCCAGCAATTTTGATTCCAGTTTGTGCTTCATGCAGCCTAGCATTTTGCAGGCTGTACTCTGCATATAAGTTAAATATCAGGGTGACAATATACATCCTTGATGTACTACTTTCCCAACTTTAGTCTGTGTCCAGTTCTAACTGCTGCTTCTTGACCCACATACAGGTTTTTAAGGAGGCAGGTTAGGTGGCCTGGTACTTCCATCTCTTTCAAAATTTTCCAGTTTGTTGTGATCCACACAGTCAAAGGCTTTAGCATAGTCAATGAAGCAGAAATAGATGTTTTCTGGAACTCTCTTTCTTTTTCTATGATCCAGCAAATGTTGGCAATTTGATATCTGGTTCCTCTGCCTTTTCTAAATCCAGCTTGAACAACTGGGAGTACTCAGTTCATGTACTTTTGAAGCCTAGCTTGGAGAATTTTGGGCATTACTTTGGTAGCATGTGAAATGAGTACAACTGTGTGGTAGTTTGAACATTCTTTGGTATTGCCCTTCTTTGAGATTAGAATGAAAACTGATTTTTTTCCAGTCCTGTGGGCACTGCTGAGTTTTCCAAATTTGCTGACATATTGAGTGCAGCACTTTAACAGCATCATCTTTTAGGATTTGAAATAGCTCAGCTGGAATTCCATAGCCTCAGCTAGCTTTATTCCTACTGATGCTTCCTAAGACCCACTTGACTTCACACTTCAAGTTGTCTGGCTCTAGGTGAGTGATCACACTCTCATGGTTATTTGGGTCATGAAGATCCTTTTGGTATAGTTCTGTGTATTCTTGCCACCTTGTCTTAATATCGTCTGCTTCTCTTAGAAGGTTATGTGCTTATAAGGCAAACAAAAAAATCCTTAGCTCTTTTAATATTAAAAACACCCAATTTTCTTCAGTAATTAAAGACCTAATAAAGATTACATCAAACACAGAAAACCATTCTAAATCATAAAAACTTGATTTCTCAGGCAGGTAACTTAAAAGATAAAGAAATGGTTCTGAAGTAACAAATGCCACACTCCTGCATGTGGAATCTGTGAGCAAGTGAAACCAGACTGATCACAAAGGAAAATCACCTCAGCAGGTGATTAGAAAGGCGTGGTAACATGCTGGAAGGAGAATTCGGCACCAAATGGCCCAATCTGAAAGAAAGATTCCAGTACATCAACCTGAGAGTGAAGAGCGAAGGAAAAGTGACATCTGAGTGTGAGTTTCTTTGGGGGTTCTAGGTTGTTGACTGTTGCTTTCACTACTAGTCTTGGGGTTTTGTCTTCTGTACTATGTGGCCTGTGAAGTCTTGCTGCCACAGTAAGCAATTGGGCCTAAAACCCCAAGATGGGAGAACCAAGTCCAGGACTTTGGGCCACCAGACAACTCCCAACCCCAAAGGATATTAATCAGAAAGACCTCTCCCAAAGGCCTCCATCTCAACACTAAGACCAAGCCCCATCAAAACTCTAGCAAGCTCCAGTGCCTGATGTCTCATGCCAATCTTTCAGCAAAACAGGAATACAAAACTGCACATTAGCAGACAGGTTGCGTAAAGCCATATAAAGCCCAAATACATCCCAAAACACACTACTGGACACAGCTGTCCTCCAGAGAGACAAGATCCAGCTCCATCCATGAAAACAGTGGCACAAGTCCCCCAAACCAAGAAATGTTCACAATGCACTGGTCCAGCAGACCCATGGAAGGCAGACTACAATTAAGAGGAACTGTGGCCCTCCACCTTGCAGAAAGGAGACCTAAAACACACTAAATTAAACAAAATGAAGACAATAAACATGTAGCAGATGAAGCAATATGGTAAAAACCCACAACGTGAAACAAATGAAGAGGAAATAGGCAGTCCACCTGAAAAAGAATTAGGAGTAATGATAGTAAAGACTATTCAAAATCTTGAAAATAAAATGGAAGCACAGATAAAGAGACTGGAGACATGGATCAAGAAGATACATGAGGGAGAACAAGATGGCAGAGGAGTAGGTGGGCATGGAGTACATCTATCTCCACAGATACACGAGGAATACACCTTCAGACACAGAAGTGCATACAGAACAACAGCTGAGAAAAGACAGGAGTACCTGACCAGTGGAAAAGAATATATGGAACCACGCAAAATTCGGTAGGATGAAGGAGCTAGGGGGAGAAACAGGAGTGTTAGTAAGGCTGTACTTGCCCTTGGCTGGTGGCAGAACTGAAGCAGGGGTCTGATCCCAATAGCGGGACAATTGTGAGTCAGAGGAGAAATATTTAAGGCTGAGAGTGAAATACCTGATCTGTGGCAGCCTAAATGGAATGAAAATCAGACAGTTCTTGCCACAGCCATACATACACTATTCAGGAACATGGTCTCCTGGAAGGGGCAGTGGCTGGGAGCTGGAGTTTAGGGATTCTGGAGCAATCCCAGTGCATGGGCTGCTGTTGACTGGAAAGACGGATCGAGAGGATGTGAGGGAGTGGATCGTGGTGGGAAATGCATGTGGAGGAAAGCCAGGCAGCCATGGAAGCAAGGCAATACTGCTGAGTCACATGTAGGGGGTGGAGCCGTCACCATAGCCCCTCTCTCTCCACACACCAGCATCGGGCAGCTGAACAATAGAGCCTGGCCCATCAAAGGCCTGATGCACTGAACTACAGAGTACGGCCCCACCCAGGGTGACCCTTTAAGTGCCTGATGCACCGATCTACAGAGTAGGACCCCAGTCAGGGGGGCTCCTTTATGTGCCTGAAGCGCTGAACAACAGAGAAGGACGCCAGGCAAGGGATCCCTTTAAGTGCCTGAACGGGCAGACCTACGGAGAAAGACAGGACAAAGAGGCCTTCTGATCATCAGCTACAAAAGGCTCAATGAAAGACTCTGATAGGGCCATAACTCCTGCCATGGAGGCAGCCTGTGTCCCCGAACACTTGATGCTGCCAAGGTCCCCACAAGCCAAGCAACTGCACTACCTTCACATTCAACTCTCACTGGGGCAGAGCTGCCACACGCATAAAAGAAAGAAACAGTCTTGTATTTATGCGCACAGGATCGCTTCAGTCCTGTCTGACTCTTTATGACCCTGTAGACTGTGGCCTGCGAGGCTTCTCTGCCAGATAAGGGGTTCTCCAGGCAAGAATATTGGAGCATATTGGCCAATACTGGTTGCCATACCCTTCTAGAGCATTGTATTTCCTGCTGCCCTAACTGTCAACCCCCTGAGTACCTGGTGCTGACAGAACCCCTGTGACCCAAGAAGCTGCACCACTTCCATACATGGCCCTCACAGGGGAAAACCCAAGCCCTCTAGGGCAGCCTCAGGAGCTAAACCCCAGCGGACGACCCACTTGTAGGGGTGGAAATAAAACCACAATTGAAACCCAGGGGCAGTGTGACTAAGAAAGAAGACCCAAAACCTTCCCACCAGCTGTACAAGCTGTAGATTAAATCCACAAGATCAACTAGGCAGACTCTGTGTCTACGGAATATATAAAAGGCCACTGAGAGCTCCCACAAAAGAAAACACACTAGCTCTGATAGCTGTGGACACTGGAGGCAAGAACATGTAGGAGTAGGATCAGATTAGAATCTGAGCAGCCCCCACAGCAGGTCCAGAGAGCAGTACAGTGCTGGAGGGCAACCTAGGGAGGTAAGGTGGACTGTGATTCCCAGCATGGGAAAGGACTCTGACAGCAGTAACTCAAGAAAAATATTTACTATTCTTATTTTTTGACTTGTTCTGTAGATTATTTTGGAGTTTTTTTCCCCTCTGTTGTAGTTGTTAATTTTATTGGTGCTGATAAAACAAATTAAGCTTTTGAGCTTTTTTCATTTTCCTCAGTCACATTTTTTATTGTTGTCATAAACCTCTGCCTCTACATTGGGCTTTTGCAGTTCTGTGGAGTTTTCCTCTTTTCTTTTCTCTTTTTTTAATTTTAAATTTTAATTTTTTAAACCTATTATTATTTTTTCTACATTTATTCCTTTGTTTGCTTTTCTTACTGTTCTTTTACCCTTGCAGTTAATCTTTATTGTATATAAATCTTATTTATCTACCTCTATTTAACTTTGCATGTCTATTCTTTCTTTCCTTTCTCTCCTTTCCTCTCAACATATTTGTTAGTTTTATTTTCATTGCTTTATTCCCCAATTGTAACTTTGCTTTAATTTTATTTTCCAGTTTGTGCTTTAATTAGTTTTGTTCTGGTAGATATCAGTATTGGTTTCTTTTCTTCACCAGGTCAATCTATTGTACTTAATTTTTGTTGGACTGTTTTGATTTTGCTTATGGATGTATATGTAGATGTGTATATTCAGTCACATTTTCTATTGCTGTTATAAACCTCTGCCTTTACATTGGGCTTTTGCAGTTCTGCGGAGTTTTCCTTCTTTTACCCTTTTTTCTTTTTTTTTTTCTCTTTTCTCTTTTTTATAACTTTAATTTTTAAAACCTATTATAGTTTTCTACGTTTATTCCTTTGTTTGCCTTTCCTATTGTTCTTTCCCCCTTGTAGTTAATCTTTAATGTATATAAATCTTCTTCATCTACCTCTATTTAACTTTACATATCTATTCTTTCTTTCTTTCCTTTCCTCTCAACATATTTGTTAGTTTTGTTTTCATTGCTTTATTCCCCACTTGGCACCTTGCTTTAGTTTTGTTTTCCAGTTTGTGCTTAAGTTAGTTTTGTTGTTAAATGGTAAATATAATTTTTTATTTTCTTTGTTCATCAGATCAATCTACTATACTTTATTATTGTTGGACTATTTTCACTTTGATCATGGGTGTATATGTATATGTGTATATTCCATTACTTATTATATGCCTGATTTTGTAACTGCCATTTGTCTGGGGTTCATCTTTGGTTTCTCATTTTTTTGATATTTGTTTTACTCTCCCTTAATGCCATAACAAACCACTCTTGGAATCTTCATTCCTGACCAGAGATCAAACCCTGAGCCTTTGGAGTGGGAGGACTGACTCCAAGACGCTAGACTCCCAGAGATCTAACAGTAGGGAGTATTAAAGAGTGAGAACTCACACAAAGGAAACCACTTGAATACAAGACCAAGCATTACACAACCACCTGTGCAGGATGCCACATCTACACAACAAACAAAACAAAAACACAAGCCAAATCATTAGCAGACAGGAGTACCATCTCACTCAGCCTTGCCCATCAGAGGAAAAAACAAACAACAAAACAAAAACTCAGCATAAATCTCACCCTATACGAAGCTCACACAAACCACTGGACCAAACGTAGGAGGGCAGAAACAAAAAAGAAGAAAGAATTCAACCTTCTTCATGGAAAGAATTCAACTTTCCTTGAAGCCTGGGAAAAGGAGGCCTCAGACACAATAACTTAGAAAAAATGAAAAGGCAGAGAAATACTGCACAAATGAAGGAACAAATAGGAAACCCAGAAGTCCAAATAAATGAAGAGGAAATAGGAAAATTACCTGAAAAAGAATTCAGAATAATGATAGTAAAGATAATCAAAAACCTTGAAAACAAAATGGAGAAAATGCAATAATCAATCAACAAAGACCTAGAAGAATTAAAGAATAAGCATACAGAGACAAGCAACACAATTACTAAAATTTAAAATACATTAGAAGGAGACAATAGCAGAATATCTGAAGCAGAAGAGTCAATCACTGATCTGGAAGACAAAAATCAGTGAGCTGGAAGACAGGGAGCTGGACATTACTTCTGAAGAGCAGAATAAAGTAAAAAGAATGAAAAGAGATGAGGATTGTCTCAGAGACCTCTGGGACCATATCAAATGCACCAACATTTGAATTATAGGGGTCCCAGAAGAAAAAGAGAAAAAGAAGGGATACGAGAAAATTTTTGAAGAGATTATAGTTGAAAATTTCCCCAACATGGAAAAGGAAATAGTCAATCATGTCCAAGAGGCACAAAGAGTCCCATACAGGATAAACCCAAAGAGAAACATGCCAAGACACATACTAATCAAACTAACAAAGATTAAACAGAAAGAAAGAATATTAAAACAGCAAGGGAGAAGCAATAAGTAACATACAAGGGAAACCCCATATGCTTAACAGCTGATCTTTCAGCAGAAACTCTGCAAGCCAGAAGGGAATGGCAGGATACATTTAAAATACTGAAAGGGAAAAATCTACACCCAAGATTACTGTACCTGGCAAGGATCTCATTCAAAATTGATGGAGAAATAAAAAGCTTTTCTTTTTTTTTTTTAAACAATCAAAAGGATCCTTTAATGTAAATCTGGGTAGTACCATATTCACCAAAATAATTTATAATAACTCTTAAATATAATCTTATAAATGAATGCCTTCTAAAGTTAAAAGTAATGTGGATTCAGTATATTTAAAATTATTCAGAACATGGTAGTAGAAATTTAAAAATTAACCATCACCTATGAAATCTAAGAAGGGAAATCACAAATTCCTGATCAAATAAACCTGAACAGACACATCAATCTCCTGGACTTTATCCTTCTACACAAACCTGACTCTAGATCTAGAGTTAACACTGCACTCTGGTTTCCTACCATAAGGAAGAAATCCTTAACAGCAGTCCAGAAATGACTTCAACTTCCTGGGGAAGCACTTCTTCAGGCTCTGTGGTGGGGATGAGCATGACAGTCACCGTTCCGACCACAGTGTCCACCTTAAGATTCCAAATGCCACTGCTGTGAGGAGGAGCCGTCACAGATCGCCATGGCAACAGAGCCTTTGCGACTCAGTGGATCAACTGCTCTGAGGCACTGGCCTGCTGATACCTGGTACAGCCGGTTATTCCTCCCAAAGGTCCACTGCTGGGATCCTCCGGACCCATGGCACTTCATGAGTCTCGGGGGGGTCAGATGAGCGAGTTTCTGACATATCCAGGCAAAGGAGATTATTTAAGACCAGCTCATGTTCTTCATTGTAAATCCAAACCTGGTTTGGGTCACTGTAGTCACATGCCCTCAGCACTACGAGGCCTCTCTTCTCACTCCAGCGGCCCTGGGCCACCAAACACTTGTTGGTCTGAAGGTGATAGAGCCTTCCGCGCTGAAGGACTTTGGGGCACTTTGGCCCTCTGTTGATAAAAATGGGTTGCTGGGGTTTGACATTGGGCCCAGATATCTGCATCTCCGGGTAAATGTTATCCAAATACCATTTAAATGATTTACAATCCAACTTCTTTCTCAATTCAACACGCTCACTGATGTTTCCATAATTTCTGGTTCTCAGATCACGTCTTAAAGAAAAATACTGCTCCTTGTATTCGTCCAGCCACACATGTGCCAGCCGCAGGGAGTTGTGCATCATAGTGTCCTGGCCCTCGGGGGACCCATACGGCCGCCTTTTCCGGAAAATGTGTCCAACTCTAGAGCAAGGGATGATGAACAGCTTACCTCCACACATCCAGATCTGGTCGGAAGCAGAACACATGTTAATAGCGCCCACAGTGCTGAGGGTCAGCACATGGCTTTTATGAGGTTAACCTCTACTAAGCAGGTGTCTTATCAGAATGAAGTCAAAGTACATATTTTAAAATTATCTGTCTTTATGATTAAAAAGAAACAAAACCCTAAAAACAATGGGACATTCTTTTACTCTCCTGTGTCTAAAACTGTCTTCTCAGACATGATGTTTTGACAGATCAAGGAAGCTGACCTTCAGGACTTAGGGACAAGGAATGCTTATCAATCCTCTAATCTCAGTTTCACACATACTTTCTCATGAAGCACACACATTTTTAGAAAAATATTATTTTATAAAAAATAGTAAGAATCAGAAGATCTTGGTTCTGGTCTAAATTTTGCCCTTGACTGAGTCACTTTATTTAGTTATTATTAGTCTTACTGTGTAGATAAGGTATTAAAATATTTTATTGCAGCTCACAACTTACAAATTCTAAAGATTACATAGGAAAAACTGGAATTGATACATTTGCAAAAATACAAAACTACATACACAAGGTATTACGGTATCTGAACAGGGATCCCGTGACACACCAGGAGATGGGAACAAGAGCGAGAAACCTGCATTCTGCCCCTTGCCCTCTTTCCGCCTTTTCCAAAGCTGGTGTCCTAACCACTAGCACAACTCCCTGAGCCACAGACCCCACCCACGACCGTCATCTTTCCAGCCTCAGCAATGAGAGAAGAGATTATGAAAGGTGAATTTCCTCTGTAGGTTGGAGCAATCTGTGTATACAAAGGATTCAGCAGTCTATTAAGGGGGCAGATATAATTTATCTGGGCTACTCCTTAAAGTAAATGGGGAGCTATTAATAATTTCCTCAGGAGACAGGTGTGAACAATGGTGACCTCGGGCAGTCAGGAAAATATGACCAGAACTGTATTATCCTAGGTCATCAAATAAGATTAATGGACAAAGGAAAAACAAAAACTCTAGAGTCAATGCACACAAAGACCTCTAAATTTATACCAACTATCACTTTAAAATTCTTATAAAATAAATATAAGGCTTCTCAGAGGCTTTTGCTATTTTGAATGGTATTATCTATATCATAAATTATGGTGAAATAGTAAGATGATTTACAGAAAACATGGGATCACAGATGAAAATTACATTTCACTGCACAGTTAACTGATTAACATACAAAAAAAATTTACCCGAAAAGATATTTCTAAATTTTCTCCTCCCCAGATATCCATGCCACTGTCATACTGTCCAAGTTCATTGAAATAGTTTCTGTTCATGGCAAACAATCCTCCAGCCACTGTAGGTGACTTTATTGGTGCAGTCGCTCCCTCCGGTCCCCCGAGCTCGGAGAGCGTGACGAGGTCCCACTTGAAGTGCAGCCCCCAGTTGAAGCCCCCCCGCACCACCGGGGACGAGCTGTAGGCCAGGGTGTCGGCGCTGATGATGTCGATCACCGGGCACACCACCGTCCGCCGGTCCTCCTGGATGGCGGCCAGCAAGGGCTGCAGCCACAGCACATTCACCTCGCAGTGGCTGTCCAGGAACACCAGGACTTCTCCTGTGGAGTGGGCCGCTCCAATCATTCTTCCTCGAATCAAGCCCTCGCGCTTTGGATTTCTTATCACTTTGATTTTTCCAGGGAGGTATTTTTGGATGTATTCATCTAGTTCTCCTTTCAAATCATGCCACATTCCTCGTATCTGGCACATCTCTGTGGTAGCCCAAGCGGTTACTAATAAGCATATTGAAGGCATGTTTCTGATACCCCAAGTCTCTCAACTCCTGATCACGTTCATTAAAAATCATACCCAATTCAGAAGAGAATTTCACATTGCCTCTTTTTGGATCTTCAACGTGATTATCTATCACATCATCAATTTTGTTTGCTTTGAATTGTGATTCTAATACTTGACTTGGGCCTCTAGTGAAACGGGGATAAAATTTTTTGGGGAATGGTCCGTGGGGCCCAGACCCCTTGATGGGCACATTCTTAAGTGGCTGAGTCACTTCACTGAAGTTGAAATAAATAAAAAGCAAAAGCGTCCAGGCTGCAGATGTAAAAAGGCATCCATAACAGAAATATCGAACTGTGACACTTCCCATTATAGACCTAGCATTGCTGAAGGGCCATTTTCAATTTCCGAATGCCCTGCGAGGACCTGGTCAAAGCCTGAGTGGCACAGCCCAACCATGAAGAAAGCAAAATTGTGTTTTTCTTCAAAAATCTTTCAAGGAACTGTTGCACACTGCTCGAATACTGTGGGAACCGAGAGCTGGGTCCCAGGGGGTGCACTACTCCAGTCGCTCCAGTGTCTAGACGTTTGCGATTCGCCGCAGTCGTTTCAGGGGCACCGCTTTCTCTCAGAGGCGGCCGCAACCCCCGGGACCGCGTTTTCTCAGACGCGCCGGCGGGGCCGGGGGTGGCTCCTTGCGCAGCCCGCCGCTCCCACGGGGCCCGGTGTCTCCTCAGGCCACCCCCGGCCCCACGCCGGGTCTGCGGCCGATACCCCGCGGAAGCAGGCGGCGGCTGAGGCGGAGGAAGCCACCGGTGCTCGCACCTTCGGGGCACCCGGGACCGCGGCCGCTCGCCTGAGGCGCTGAGGAGGCGGACGGAGGCCGCGGGGGCTCACAAGCCGCCAGACCACCGCTACTCACCCCGATGCCGTCAGCGCAGCACCCCGGCCTCTCGGGACTCGGGCTGGAGCATCCTCCCTCCCGCCGCGGCCCGACTCCGAGCCGCATTCGCCGCTGCAGCGGGCGGAGCCGCCTGGCAGGAAACGCAGTCCCGGGCACACAGGGGCTTCTCCCCCCCACCCCCACCGCGGGCTCAACCCGTGCCCGCGCCGCAGCCTCCAAAAAGCTTTTCAGAAAAGCAAAAGTTAACAGAATTCAGTACCACCAAACCAGCTTTACAACAAATGTTACACGGACTTAAATAGTCAAGAAATACAAGAGAAGAAAAGATCTAAAAAATCAACCCCAATTAGAAAATGGCAATAGGAACATATATATCAATAATTACTTTAAATGTAAATGGATTAAATGCTGCAACCAAAGACACAGACTGGCTGAATGAATACAAAAACAAGACCCATATATATGCTGTCTACAAGAAACCCACTTCAGACCTCAAGACACATATAGACTGAAAGTGAGAGGATGGAAAAATATATTCCAATATTCCATGCAAATGGGAAGCAAAAGAAAACTGGAGTAGCAATCCTCATATCAGACAAAATAGACCTTAAAATAAAGAAGGTTACAAGATACATAATGATCAAGGGATCAATCCAAGAGGAAGACATAACAATTGTAAATATCTATGCANTACAACCAACATTATTCTTCCCCACAAGGATCTCACTGAAAATTGATGGAGAAATCAAAAGCTTTTCAGACAAGCAAAAGTTAAAGAGAATTCAGCACCACCAAACCAGCTTTACAACATATGTTAAAGGGACTTATATAGTCAAGAAATACAAGAGAAGAAAAAGATCTACAACACTGAACTCCAAACAATTAATAAAATGGCCATAGGAACATATATATCAATAATTGCTTTAAATATAAATGGATTAAATGCTCCAACTATATGACACAGACTGATGGAATGGATACAAAAACAAGACCCATATATATGCTGTCTACAAGAAACCCACTTCAGACATAAAGACACACATAGACTGAAAGTGAGAGGATGGAAAAATATATTCCATGCAAATGAGAAGCAAAAGAAGCTGGAGTAGCAATCCTCATATCAGACAAAATAGACCTTAAAATAAAGACTATTACAAGAGATAAGAAAGGACACTACATAATTGATCAAGGGATCAATCCAAGAGGAAGACATAACAATTGTAAATGTCTATGTTCCCTTGTAGCTCAGTTGGTAAAGAATCTGCCTGCAGTGCAGGAGACCCAGGTTCAATCCCTGGGTTGGGAAGATCCCCTGGAGAAGGAAATGGCAACCCACTCCAGTATCCTTCCTGGAAAATCTCATGGACAGAGGAGCCTGGTAGACTGCAGTCCATGGAGTCGCAAAGAGTTGGGCACGACTGAGCAACTAACACCTAACACCTAACACTTACGCACCCAACATAGGAGCATCTCAATAAGAAAAACACTAACAGACATAAAAGGAGATATTGGCAGTAACACAATAATAGTAGGAGTTTTTTTTCAATGGTGAAAAATTGAAAGCATTCCTGCTAAGATCAGGAACAAGACAAGGGTGTCCACTTTAATTACTATTATTTAACATAGTTCTGGAAGTCCTCACTACAGCAATCAGAGAAAAAAAAGAAATAAAAGGAATCCAGATCAGAAAAGAAGAAGTAAAAAAAAAAAGAAGAAGTAAAGCTCTCACTGTTTGCAGATGACATGATACTGTACACAGAAAACCCTAAAGATAGTATCAGAAAATTACTAGAGCTAATCAGTGAATTTAGCAAAGTTGCAGGACAGAAAATCAATGCACAGAAATCACTTGCATTTCTATATACTAACAATGAAAAATCAGAAAGAGCAATTAAGGAATCAATGCCATTCACCATTGCAACAAGAAGAATTAAATATCTAGGAACTTAGCTAAGGAGATGAAAGAACTGTACACAGAAAGTTATAAGACACTAATGAAAGAAATCAAAGATGACATAAACAGATGGAGAGATATTCTATGTTCCTAGGTAGGAAGAATCAATATTGTGAAAACGACTATACTACCAAATGCGATCTACAAATTCAATGGGATCTCTATCAAATTACCAATGGCATTTTTCACAGAACTAAAACAAAAAAAATCACAATTCATATGGAAACACAAAAGACCAATAGCCAAAGCAGTCTTGAGAAAGAAGAATGGAGCTGCAGGAATCAAGCTTCCTGATTTCAGGTTACACTACAAAGCTACAGTCATCAAGACAGTATGGTACTGACACAAAAGCAGAAATATAGACCAATGGAACAAGATAGAAAGCGCAGAAATAAACCCATGCACCTATGGGTACCTTATTTTTGCCAAAGAAGGCAAGGATATACAATGGGGCTAAGACATCCTCTTCAACAAATGGTGTTGGGAAAATTGAACAACTACACATAAAAGAATTAAATTAGAACACTTCCTAACAACATACACAAAGATAAACTCAAAATGGATTAAAAACCAAAATGTAAGACCAGAAACTATACAACTCTTAGAGGAAAACATAGGCATGACACTCTGACAAAAATCAAAGCAAGATCCTCTATTACCCACCTTCTAGAGTAATAGAAATAAAAACAAAAATAAACAAGTGGGACCTGATTAAGCTTAAAAGTTTTTGCACAGCAAAGGAAATTATAATCAAGGTGAAAAGACAACCCTCAGAATGGGAGAAAATAATAGCAAATGAAACAACTAACAAATGATTAATTTCCAAAATATACAAGCAGCTCATACAACTCAACACCAGAAAAACAAACAACCCAACCAAAAAGTGGGGAAAAGACCTAAATAGACATTTCTCCAAAGAAGACATACAGATGGCTAACAAACACATGAAAAGATGCTCAATATCACTCATTATTATAAAGATGCAAATCAAAACTACAATGAGACATCACCTCATACCGATCAGAATGGCCCTCATCAGAAAGTTTACAACCAGTAAATGCTGGAAAGGGTGTGGAGAAAAGGGAACACTTTTTTACTTTTGGTGGGAATGTAAATTGATACAACCACTATGGAAGATGGCATGGAGATTCCTTTAAGAACTAGGAATAAAATCACCATATGACCCAGCAATCCCACTCCTAGGCATATACTCTGAGGAAACCAAAATTGAAAGAGACACATGTATCCCATTGCTCACTGCAGCACTACTTACAATAGCTAGAACATGGAAACAACCTAGAAGTCCATCAACAGATGAGTGGATAAAGATGTTGTGGCATATATACACAATGGAATATTACTCAGCCATAAAAAGGAATGCATTTGAGTCAGTTCTAATGAGGTGGATGAACCTGGAACCTATCATACATAGTGAAGTGAGTCAGAAAGAGAAAGATAAATACCGTATTCTAACCGTATTCTAACACATATATGCGGAATCTAGAAAAATGTTACTGAAGAATTTATTTACAGGGCAACAGTGGAGAAACAGAAATAAAGAATAGACTTATGGACATGGGGAGAGGGGAGGAGAGAGGAGAGGGTAAGATGTATGGAATGAGTAACATAGAAACTTACATTACCATATTACCATATGTAAAAGAGATAGGCAACAGGAATGGCTCAGGAAACTCAAACAGGGGCTCTGTATCAAGCTAGAGGGGGTGAGATGGGGAGGGAGATGGGAGGGAGTTTCAAAGGGGGGGATGTATGTATGCCTATGGCTGATTCATGTTGAGGTTTGACAGAAAACAGCAAAATTCTGTAAAGTAATTATCCTTCAATAAAAAATAAATTAATTAAAAAAAGAAAATATATGAAATGTTTAACAAAGATGTGGAAGTAAAGAATAGACAATACCAATGAACAACACAATAACTGAGATTAAAAATACCCACAAAGGAACTAATAACAGGATAACTGAGGCAGGAAAATGAATAAGTGAGCTGGAAGTTGGAAATAACTGAAGCAGATCAAAGGAAAGAAAAGAGAATAAAAAGAAATGATGACAGTGTCAGAGACCTCTTGGACAATATTAAGTGCACCAACATTCCAATTATAGGAGTACCAGAAGAAGAAGAGAAAAAGGAGGGGTATGAGAAAGTATTTATGGAGATTGTAGTTAAGAGTTTCCCTAACATAGAAAAGGAAATAGCCACCCAAATATGAGAAGCCCGGACTGTCCCATTCTCTGAATTGAATTCCCATCAATTCAGGATAAATTGAGGAGAAACATGCCAATACACATATTAATCAAACTAACAAAAATTAAACACAAAGAACAAATATTAAAAGCAGCAAGGGAAAAGCAACAAATAACATAAAAGGAGATCCCCATGAGGATAAAGCTGATCTTTGAACAGAAAATCTGCAGATCAGAAGTGAGGGACAAAATATACTTAAAGTGATGAAAGGAAAAACTTACAACCAAGATTACTCTATCCAGCAAGGATCTCATTCAAATTCAAAGGAGATATAAAAAATATTAAAGATAAGCAAAAATTAAGAGATTTCAGTACCACTAAATCATATTTACAACAAATAATAAAGGAAATTGCCTAGAAATGAAACACAAGAGAGTCTATAAAAACAAACTCAAATCAATAAAATAAATTGCAACAGGATCATATATATCAATAATTACCTTAAATGTAAATGGGTTAAATTCTCCAACCA